TAAATGGTATGTTAAAAAAAATACAATACAATCAAATTACCAATAAAAGAAAAATAATAATTATAGTTAAAATAATTAATTTAATGCCATTTAATTTTGGAAACATATCTAGGGATGTCCATTTGATCTTAATTTTTATATGCCTAAGTTTGGAAAACAGAATTCCCCAAATTCATATATATGTATATATATGTGTGTGTATATATATATATATATATATATGCAAATTAAGCAAGTGGCATGCAATATCATCACATCACCATGAGATGTGGACATGATGATGATGATGATGATGATGACTATTAATTCAGAAGGCGGATGAATTATGTTCTGTAAATAATTTTGACATGTAGCATATATATATATATATATATATATATGTGACAAGTCATGAATGACAATTCCATTTTGGATTTTCTTGAATAAGTTTTGGTTAATGATTTTGGAGTATGACTATTTTTTTAAGATATGATTTTACTATAAGTATTACTATATATATAATTAAATTCTTATAGCTTAATATTTATAAAAATTTTAATTTTTTAAGATTAGTACATGTGTAAACTTCTAAATACAAAGTTTTGAAGGTTAAAAACAAAATAAATTAAAATAATAAGACTATAGTATAAAATTTTAAAAATATTTAATTACCATATGATGTCTTAATCTAAAGTTGTATAAATTATAGTTTGAAAAAAAAAAAAAGAAGAAGATAGAATTGAGATAATTAATTGGTAACCATTTGTTTTATCACACATGAAGAACAAATAGTGAATGGGTTTCCTAAAGACCAAACCATGAGTCATTTTCAAAATGATCATTAAGTAAATAATTAACAAATAAGCCAATTGTGTCACTTAGTAATGAGTGAAATAATTAATATATAATATACTTATGATATGTACTTAATAATTGGAGAAAAAAAATAATATAATATAAAAAATTAGATTAAATTTTTAATACGTCGTTACTTAATTTGTAACAGCCCCGATAATTCAACATGGAAATTATATTATAAATATTAAATGCGGAAGCGAGATCAAAATTTCGGTTAACATCCCTTACACGAAAACCAAAAACGTACTTAAAATATAAAAGATTAAACTAACTAAAAGAGAAACTCGAAAATAGAACTATGAGTATGACTACAGAATCTCTAAGCATCCCCTTCGTCGTCCTCCTGCGGAACGGGCTCGGAAACCATGTCTTCCTGATCTGAAATGGTTAAATAAGAAGTGAGCTACACTAGCCCAGTAAGAACATCACGATATCTCACCGTCACGGCGGTAAAGGTGGGTAGAAAAACACAAAAGACCAATGGAGCATGATTTACAACAAATCTTTTTATTTATGATAAAACCTTTACCATCCACTTACCTCGGTGGAATTCATGAAACAATATAAGAAAAACAATGACATTATCACAATCATGGAATAATATAAGTTGTAAAACATAGCAATTATCACGCCTTTTGTAATTCAATCATTATATCACATATCATTTTCTCATTTTCCAGCCTACTAGTATCCATGGGGGTCCCTAGGGGTCCCGCTACCCGTTAACCTTTAACATTCATAATCAGTTTCCAGGGCCGTCCCCATACCCCGTCCGGTATGGGCGCCAAAACCATAAACCTCAATACCTCGTCCGGTATGAGGGTGAAACGGGCCGTCCCCATACCCCGTCCGGTATGGGCGCCAAAACACATAAACCTCAATACCCCGTCCGGTATGAGGGTGAAATGGGCTGTCCCCATACCCCGTCCGGTATGGGCGCCAAAACACATAAGATCTCCATGCCCCGTCCGGCATGTGAGACCACAATCCCGGTAGGGTTCCCTACGGACCCGGTCCGTCCACCATCTCCCAGGATATCTAGTCAGGCTGACCTCATTATACAATTATCAGTCTACACAATCTTTTATTTTTCTTTTCCTCAGTCAGCATCATCAATTTACCTTTAAACAAGCAAATCGTAATTCATGCCAAACAGACAACATACAGTATCAATTTTCCAGTCATTCAACCCATAATTAATAAAAACGTAATATATGCACACGAAACTATAAAATAAACACATCAAACCTCATACTGCATTTAAAACTGTAAAACAGGCCAAATAACAGTAAATCACCAATCACACTAGACTCGGGCTCCATTAGCAACCTTAAGCAATTTTACACATTCGTTAATTCAAGAAATACCGTTTTATCATTTTGAACTTTAATACCGTGATAGGAAATAGGGTGAGGGGTCCTTACTTGTTTTCGGGATCCGAATACGATTCACAGTGCGCCTACAGGCCGTCCCTAATTTTCCCTGAATTTTTCCCGGGGAACTGAAACACACTAACGGTACCTGCACGTGTTCCAAAAAAAAATCCAAATTAGGCCCAGGGCCTCTTTCGGCCCAAATCGCAACTCCGGCACGGCGGCTCCGCCGTGCTCCGGCGACGGCGGCTCCGCCGTGCTCCGGCGACGGCGCCACCGCTGGCGGCGGCGAGTCGCCTCGGGTTGGCTGTTTTCGGCCATTTTTGGCCGAATTCGGCCACACTCGCATCGGTCCCTGTGAGAAAACAACCCTAGGGCCCTCGGGGGGCCAAAAAATCACGGAAAAACGGAGCTTACCGGCGGCGGCGCTCTCGGGTGCGGCGGCTCTCCGGCGAGGTTCGTGTTTTGGTGATTCGGCTCCGGTCAACCTGTAGAGAAAAGAATGGTGATCACGGTGATATAAAAATTGCATCAAACGGAGGCCGGGAAGGACCTCGTCGGAGGTAAAAACCGAGAGGGGGCGCGGCGGCGCCGTTGGTCTTCGGCCGCGTATTCCGGCCGTTTGGCCGGGATTTTGGCTTCGATTTGGCCATAGGAGGAATCAGCGTGGAAAAACGAGTCGGGGGTATGAAATTTACCTCAATCGGCGGTCGGAAATTTCCCCGGTGCGGCGGCGGGTGGCGGCGGTCGGCCTCTGGTTCGTCTTCTCCGGCGAGCGGTAGGCGGCTAGGGTTTGTGGTCTGGTGTGGGGGTTCTATTTATAACCCCTTGCCCTTTGATCTCAGCCGTCCATTTTGTTTTAATCTGGGCCGTCTGTGCGATTGTATCTGGGCCGTCCGATCGTGCGATTGATCTGGGCCGTCCGATCGCGCCCACGCGGATCGCCAACGTGACCCGTTCAGGAGCGACGTGGTCTTGCCACGTGGCAGGCCCCGGTTGGCCGGGACTGCTGACCGGGCCTGCTGATGTGGCTGCCGACGTGGCTTTTTTTTTTTTTTTTTTTTTCGGTCCGGGCGCTACATAATTATTATATAATATTCGTCTTATCCGTAAACATAAACAGTTAATTTGAGATTTAATTTAATTCGATCAACGTAGTTCTACCAATATAAAGTAAATTGAGTTATCAGTTTTATTTATTAATTAGCTAATTGTCTTTATTTTATTTTTTATTATTTTAACTTTTACCAATTTTTAAGTTTTGGTTTATATAATTTCTTAATTACAAAATGTCTAATATGAATTGTATAAGTTTTTTTTCTAAGCAATTAAAATGGGAATGTGTAAAAATTTGTATTGATTCAATAATTTAAAGTTAGGGAAGGATTGACATTTCCTCTTGTTCTTTTTTGCTTCTACTTCATTAATGGATTTCTCTTTCTCTGGCCCTATGTTTTTTTTTTTTTTTTTTTTTGTATTGAACAATAAATTAAATATGTATAAAAATAAGATTTGGGAGGGGGTTAAAAGAGTGTAGGGCAACAAAACAGACGAGGAGGACCATGACAGATGGTGGCGTAGGATTGGGAATTTTTTGGTTTGAGATTATGGAGGGGGAAGAAAAGCTTCGAAGGATTCCCAGAACGACGTCGTTTTCAAGATATTTTGGGCCTATATACGCATAGGACAAAAGGGTGGGGGAGCCCGTTACCTTTTTATTGAAAGAGGCAGCTGGGATATAGACTGCACCCACGTGTCGATTTCTAATTGCAACTTTGGAAATTATTTTTATATAATTTTAAAGTTTTTATTATTTTGTATAAAATATTGAAACCAGAAAAATTAATATTTTGAGTGGGATCAAATAATAATAATTATTATTAGTTTTTATTTTGTTTAATTATTTTAATTATTATTATTATTAGGATTGTAATTGTGGCTTCCTCCATTATTGGGTCGATGAGAAAATGAAATTCCAAAATTGAGGACGCATCTGCCCGTACATGGGCCGTTGTACAAGAGATACACGAAGACATTTAATGTACCAAACAGAGACTTCCCTTCACGACTACTCTATTTTGTCTTTCTATATTCGGATATAAACGTGTACGTATATATATTCCAAGAACAATAGAATTTTATGTCCCTCTTTTAATTTTTCTTCTTCAAGTGCCAGGAACAGACTGGATGGTACCACACAGCACGGACAGCGGCCATTGTTAGACCCCGGCCAAACAGTCCCAAAACATGTACCATGCAAAAACATGTTATGTCCAAACCAGCAATCAGGATTTCTCAAATTAAATCTGTTCGTTCTAAATACGGATCACAAATCTACGATTGCATGGTAACAGATACCGGTAATCTGAGAGGGAAAGCAAATTTGAGGATGGGATTTTGAGAATGAGTTTTTAAGTAAAAGAATTGGGGTTCAATAAGAGGAAAACCCTGGGAAGCAAGTCAATTAGAGAAAAAAAAAACCAAAAGATTTCCTACAATTATAATTTGACAGCTTATCCACCCTGAAAAGGATTCTTGGGCTTGTCCGGCTACAATCTATGTTTAAGGACCACTCCCCCCCCCCCCCCAGAAAGCGACCTTCATTTAAGGTAAGCTTTTGGAGTGGCACTTGGCAACCTGCCAGTATCGTTACGTGTATTGCCATTATGACAAGAAGTCAATCATCATTCAGAATAATGCAACTCATTCATTCAAATTCGTTGTATAGAGCTGATAGTTTTCATTTTCGTCTTTACCATGTGTAAGAGGGAAAAGGAAAGAAAAGAGAGGTCAGATTTCTTGAACAATGCATAAATTGACACACATCTGCAAAATGATTTAGGTAACAACTCAAACAACAAAGTTCAAAGCATTTCATTTACTGGACAAAAAGTTCCAGAGAGATAGAAAGAGGCTCATTAAGATAACCGAGGCCTAATTAATAAATTTAACATGTCAAAATGTTCTAACCAAGCAGCAGACCCAGTGTCCACGGGCATCCAAGCAGGACCCAGTCCACGACATCCAAGCAGGTCCACCCTATGACATCTTCACTCTCGAAAAGTCCATCTCAGGATGCTGGAAGAAAACAAGATATCAAATGAGCATGTTACATAGGAAAGGTAATATTTAGCCAGCAGAAGTTGGCAAAGCATATAAATAGTCACCTCAGCCATGAACTTCTTTAGAATCTCCTGTTTCTGGAGCTCATCACTTGTTGGAAGTCCCATGGATTTTTGTCTCTGATCAAACTGCAAACCACAAGAAACTTGTATGTTACTTCACTATTTCCAAGGCAATACAAATGATTAGCTGAAATTGAAGACTGGAAGAACCAATCAATACCAAAGTAGAATGTCAAACATATGCATCAGAAACAAGCCACTAAGAACCTCATTATTAACTGGCATGAAGGACAGGCAATTGAGACATCAACAGACACAAGACTCAGACAGTAGTCACATTTTATCATGGACATAAGTTTCTAGTTTGGTCATTTTTCTAAATCAGAAAGAAAAAAGTCGTAATAGGAATTCCATCCCAGTAATGCACTGAGAAGCATAGGCATGCCATCTCCATCATCATTTCAAGAGGTAGATATGTCCAACAGGTTAGACTCCTCATCCAATAGCATAGTCAACTAACAGAACCAATATACAATTTACCAAAAAACATTTATATGGCAACATCATTCATGGCCCATCCACAATGGCCAGTACAAATAAGTAAAAGAGAGCAGTAACAGATATGAGAACACATTCTCAAAAAATAATAACTAAAAAAAAGAAAACATAGGCAACGATAAATTACCATCATCTTCTCCACAGTCTGCCTTGTTTCAGGATCCAGGTCAGATAGTTTGCTGTTTTCAGGTTCACACTTTTGAGTGTCGATTTCGGGCTCTCCTTTGACCACAGTTTTCCACCACTCCATCTGGTCGTGCTTTGTCAAAAGAATAGAGAGTGCCTTCTGATCCTCTATAGATAAAAGAGAAATACACATTTTGGTGATAAAGTAAGACCTAAAAATTCTTATAATTCTTTGGATCACTTGATTGCTATGGTCTTCAGTTCTTTATGAATGATTTTCCTGCATCTATAAGAACAATAATCAACTTAGCAAGTAACTTACCTATGCTCCAATAGCAATCATCAGGTTTGACAGGCCGATATAGTTCACCCTGCAATTATTTAGAATTGCATTCTAAGATTGTTACCCAATCTGACAATAAAAGACAAGTGGAACGCAGGAAAGTTACATAGAAAAACCTACGGGATAGACAAGGACTTACATCAATTATTGGAGGGTGCCCCTTGAGTCCAACTTTTATATGGTTCTTCTTTATATCACATACAACAAACCTTGATTTAGTGCCAGTAGGGATTGGAACATTGATGTTGAGCTCCGGTAGTGACTGAGTCCAGGAGTATTTCTCAAGATCAAGTCCGTTACCTTTATTAGGAACTGTTCACAAGCAACTTGATTGATAAATTAAACTGGGTTATAGGAAGATAAACAAACAAAGTGAGAGTTGCTCATAAACTAAACTAGTTCATAATTATTGTCAGAAACCAACAAAGGCCCTCCAAATGCAGAAGTTGTCAAAACACAAGAAGATTTAACTAAAAATAGATTCTTATCAGAAGGTTTAACTGAAAAACATTTTTGTCGCATATATTTGGCCAATCTCAATGATTTTAGAGCAAATGCACAACAAGCTTGGCCAAACAGAATCCAAAGTTCATATGCACTGTCTATCATTAAGGTCCAAGCAGAATTCTCTTTCCCATTGCTTCTATTAAGCTTCTTTCTAGATCTTCAGTCTTAGTTTTAACAATAAAATCAACATTATTCCAGACCCTGAAAATCTGTGAGCCTAAATGATATGAGCATGGACGGCATAAGCCATTCCAACCACCATTCAAGCCAAAGTGACAAAGAAGGCCATGGGTTGGACTATCCATGTGGCCAAGATAAAATCACAAGTGGCCAAGAGGAAGCCATGAGCGGTCAAGAGGAAGTTACGCACAGCAATGCCCATTTAGAGAGGAATGCATGCGGCAAGGGAGGTCCAAACCAAGATCAAGGTATATCGGCCCATGAACAAAGATCATATGAAGATAATGGAGTCAAGCAAGGTGTGGAGATCAATAAAGATGAACTTGGATCACTTTTTTTTTTAAATAAAAAAAGTGTCAATATGTATTAGTATGAGCACCAAGAGGTGCAAGCCATGTACAATTATTTACAGTTCAGTCCTCCACACAACCACACAAAACAGGACTCTAAGAGCCTCACAAAAAAATGGAGGATGATCCATCAACAAAAATTCTAGGATACTAAACCATCTATTTTTAAGAACATCAAAACTCTTTGTATCATCAAAGCCTTCAAATGCTCTTCTATTCCTATCCTTCCAAACAGTCCAAATAAGTGTGAGTGGAACCATATCAACAAAGATGCATCTGTCTTTAAGATATTTCCAAGCCCATAACTCTTCCTTGATTGATCCAACCATCACCCAACTAGTCCCCATCGATTTGTACACCATGGTCCACGAGAAATATACCAAAGGACACTGCAATAAAAGGTGGCTGCAACCCTATTCTGCCTGCTTGCAAAGGCAGCAAGCGTTAACCAGAACCAAACCCCTTCTCCTGACTTTATTAATTGTCAAAATACAATCCATACTAATTTCCCAAGCAAAAAAGGAAATCCGAGGTGGAACTTTGACCTTCCAGATTTGTTTATACAGGAATGGATCATTGCTAACCCCACTCTGAAACAGTCTTTTATAACAGGATTATACCATGAAGGATCCCTTTTTCGTGAGAGTTCATCGCGGCAAACCAATATTGTTACCCGGGGATACAAATGGCAATGCTCTCATCAGCTTCTCATACTCATTAAGTTCTCAATCATTCAAATTTTGTAGAACCAACACCTGCCACACCCCTCCTACATCAGCATTGCTCACGAAACAGTCACTAACCCGCACTCCCTTATTCTCTGCCTAGTGAGCCTATTACAAGAGGAACAGCCAAAAGACTCAAACAAGTCTTCCAACTCTTTGTTCAAGAATGGATAAGTGAGGAAGGACTTGGATCAAGCTAGGAAGCCCACAAGAGGATGAAATTAAGTCCATTCAGCCAAGGCCAAGAAAGAAGATGCACTTTAATCCAAATCAAGGAAGAACCCGAGGCAAGCATGTGGGAAAATCTTCCCAATGCGTGAAAGATTTTGCCAACCCGAGAAGGACTTGTCTCAAGTAAGAATTTTCCTTTTCTTTTCCATCAAAACAAGCAACTAAGTCTCCAAATATTCAAGAGAATCGGTATTCAAGGAAAAATATATTCCTTAGCTGATTCCACCCATTCAAAAAAGGCAACCACATTTAAGGAGCAATGAATTCAAGATCTTGGAAGGATTTGGACAGTTTGGCGTCCTCCCTAAGGAGTCATAAAGCCAGCCCTAATTTTCCTTTCCTTCACTCAAGAATCTCACTTTCAAGAGGGGTATTCACCAATTAAGAGGTTCCCTCAAAGAGGGGAATATCTACACTATTGGCTTGAAGCATTTACAATTAAATAGGAGATTTCTTTTCTTATACTTCACACGACTTACAATTATGGATAGACCTTCAATTCATGATTGTAAACATCAAGTTTTCGATCAATAAAATTACAGAGTTTTAACTTTCAACAGTGAGGTATTCTTCACTATAAATAGACCTTCAATTCATGGTTGTAAGCATCAAGTTTTCAATCAATAAAATTACAAAATTTTAGTTTTCAACAAGTGAGGTATTTTTCAAACTTCTCGTTGAGCAAGGAATTGGTTCAACTTATCAAAATAACTCTTGTGGCATTTTATCAATTCTTAATTTTCCTAATTACCTTAATTGCTATCATCTATTGATAGCAGGTTAAGTAGAAAAAATTTATTTAAATAAGTTTTTAGTGCTAATTGAAATTGTGTGAATTTTAAATTGCATTATTGATCCTAAGTTCCGCATCACTAAACTGAAAAAATCAACCACTAACAAATGAGATGAATAAAATTTAAATTCTCTGCACTGCAATAAAAAATATTCCACACCAACTTTCTAAATCCATGGGTACATTCGTGACTCCAGCATACCAAGATATGGGGACACAAGTTCCGCAACAAACCTATTTTTGGACTAACAATTATCCACAGTTCAGTGCATTCTTCAGAACCAAGATCACAGAACACTCTCCACTTGAAACCTTTAGTTTTCATAATAACCCTTGATTTGCTCTTAGAGGCTCAATGCACAAAAGACTCCAAACAAAGCTGAACCAGCAAAAACTCAGCACACCTTTCCCCAGCCTGCTATCCATGTCTTTCTCTCAAAACTATTGATATATAAGTCGTCCGTTATGCTAATCCCAAATTTTAATGCTATACGCATTAAACATTGATAAATTCAAAAATGTACTCAAAGTCACTCTAAAATCTGAACAAGCACACGCCCATTTTCATCAATTTTAATTATAATTTCTCTCATCGTTCAGTCGGCAATTAAGCAGTGAAGCAAAGCACCATATAATCAATCCAACATTGTAAAAACAAACTAAACGTAGTGACTTCAGTGAAGCCAAAACGGTAAAAACGCAATACCTCTTGGTCCAGCCTCCTCCATCTTCTCCTCCTTTAACACAGGCGTCGCTTTCTCTTCCTTCTTCTGCTTCTGCTTCTCCTCCTCATCCAATTTCTTCTTTCTCTCTGCCTCCGCCGCCGCCGCAGCAGCTTTCCTTTTCCTTTCCTTCGCGGCTCTCACCACCGCCGTGATCTCCTTCTCCGCCGTATCTCTCTCGAGGAAATCGCTTTCTTTCTCCAGAAACTCTATCACTTTCTCCACCAGCCCTAACGGGTTTGACGAATCGAAGCTTGCTCTGAACGGCATCGCTTTTGGCTGCTGCTGCTGGGACGAAGACGAGGGTTTGGCTCCCTCTTCTTCCATGCCGGAGATTATCACCATTGATGCCGACACTACTATATTACCTCGTTCCGCCGATAAATGAATCGAGGGTTTAGGTTTTCGCTCCTGTAAGGACTGAGAAAGCAACCTTCTTAGAAAACTTGCAAGGCAGTGCGAAGAGTTTGATAGAGTGTTCCAGAACGGAAACCCTTTTAATAGTCCCTAAATATTTTCTGATAAGTCCCTGATATTTTATGAAATTACACTTGAGCAAATATAACTTCATCATGATTATTAAATTATTTAAAAAAAAAAAAAAAGAACCGGAAACGACGTCGTATAGTTGGTACGGGACATCCTTCCTCTTTACAAAACGATGTAGTTTTTAAGGAAAACGACGCGTGGATTTGGTACTAAAAGTTGTAGATTTTGTCTGAAAATATTATATTATTTAAGAAATCTTAGATATTATTAGAGTAAAGGACCATAATAATTTTATGGTTTAAAATTTATTAATTTTTCAAACATCTTGTATGAATATGTATATATATATATACACTGAGCCAATAATAGATAGCAGAAAATGGCTAACTGAGAGGTGGGTGAATAAGAAATTTATCAGGAGCATCAATTTTGATGATCTTCAGAGCTTACTCCCAAGTCATTACAAGGTTAGGGAGGATCTTGAATTACAGCTGAATCAACTGTTATCCTGTGATGTCCAATTTTAATTTAATATAAATTAAATTAATTTATGCAATTTTTTAATTTTTTAATTTTAATTTAGTGTAAAAATAAAAAAAATTTGATGGATGATGAAATTGAAAATGAATTTGGAGAAAAGATGTGAAAATTTGAGTTCTTATGGTATTTTTGAAAGAAAAATCAGAAATTTAAAAAACTTGTGCTACGTAGGATGCCCGATCAGCAGCTCCGACGAAACAGAACGCGTCGTGTGGCAACTGACGCTGATATGGTGCTACGCGGGTGATCCACGTGCCTGTGATCGAACGACCCATATATGTTCTCGCGCGCACAGACGGTCTGGATGCGTTCCCTCCCCAAACGCGATCGGGAGTCAGATTTAAACGCAATCAAACGGTCCAGATTAGATCGCGATGAACAGCCCAAATTCACTCCCTATTTAATCGCGATCAGACGGTTCAGATTAAACGCGATGGATGACACAGATTAAATGGGGACAAATATAAATAACCATCATTACACCAAATTCTAACCCTAGCCGCCAGACACCCTCACCGAAGAAGAAGACCCAGCTGCCGGGAAGGAGAGCCGCTGTCGCGCCAGAGATACTTCCGACCGCCAAAAGAGGTAAAAAAAATTTCATTAACTCAGAATTCAATTTTAAACACCCCCATGGCCAAATCGAAACAAAAGGACCTGTTGATTGGCCGAAAACCATGGGCAAAGTCCGACAACGCTGTTGCAGGGAATTTCACAAAACGCCTCTGATGAGGCCCTTTTCTATTCCCGTTCTACATAATTTTTTTACCATTGTGATCACCGTTCCCTTTTCTACGGGTTGACCGGAGTAAAACACCCAACCACAACGTGAGCCGAAGAGCCGCCGCACCGAAGAGCCCCATCGTCGGTGAGTTTCAAATTTTTATGTTTTTTCGGTCAACCGAGACCTCTTAACATATTTTTTCGCAGGAGTTGATGCAAAATCGATCGAATTCAACCAAAAACAGCCGATCCAAAATGAACCGCCACCGTGGGCGGCAACGCCGTTGCCGGAGTACGGTGGGGCTGCCGTGGTGAAATTTCAAAATTGGCCAAAAATGGGTCCCGAGACTAATTTTGGATTTTTGGGATGTTTGTAGGTGTTTATAGCGCATTTTAATTCTCGAAAAAAAAAATTTGGGAACCCAGGGACCGCCAGTAAGCACAGTCAACAGCTTAGCTTTCGAGCATCAAACTGAGTAAGAATCCATCACCATATTATCTGTTATAGAATTGAAGTTTAATTAACAATAAATACAGTATTTTGTTACAATTTAAAAAATGTTCATAATTAATTACGGATTACTAATGGAGCCAAAACCGAAAATTATCTACTATTGTTATGTTGATTGTTTTTACAGTTTAAATGCACGAATGTACCTTATTAATTGATTTTATAGATTTGAATGCGTGTATTATTTGTTTTATGTGTTTACAGCTGAATTGAAAAAAATGGAGGTTAAAGGTAAACGAAAAATTGTGTGATTAAGTGAATGAATGAAACGCTAGCCTTATTGAATTTCTTGGGAGATAATGGACGGACCGAGTACATAGGGAACCCTACCGTGAATGTTATCTCATACCCGATGGGGTATCGAGACTTGGTAATTCGGTGCTCATACCAGACGGAGTATGGGGATGACTCATTTCATCCTCATACTAGACAGAGTATTGAGGTTTAATAATTTGACACTCATACCAGACGGGGTATAGAGACGGCCCGTTAATTGATAATGTTAAAAAAAAATGGTTCACGCGTAGTGGGGACATCCCTATGAACCCCCATAGATACCAACAAGCTGATAAAAAGGGATATTTGTTGTTTTGGTTATTTGAATATGAAAGTATAATATATGCTATGTTACCGATTACATATGAAATCATGATATGTATAATGTTATTGTTTCTATAGGTTATTTTTGTAAATCTCACTATGGTAAGTGGACGTTAAATGATTTTATTGTGGATAAATGAATTTGTTTAATTAAGAGTTCCATTAATTATTTTGATTTTCTACCAACCTTTATTTTGTATCGGTGAGTGGCGTGATATTCTTACTAGGCTAGTTAACTCATTCCTTATTTAACTATTTCATATCAAAATGATCAGAATCCGGAGCCCGATTCACAATGAGGTTGCGAGTATGATGCTAGTTTTATTTAATTTCTATTTATTTCCTTATTTTTTTTGTATTTCTTCCAAAATAGTAATTCTCCTATCACTATTTGGTACTTTAAGTTATTGTGTAAATAATGTAAACCTTAACTATTTATTCCACTTCCGCACTTAAGTTATAATTTATTTCTTTTAAAATTTTTGGAGTCATTACATACACAAATTATAACGGCCCCGAAAATTTAAAATGAAATGTGTATTAAAAATATCAAATGCGGAAGCGAAGTAAAAAAAAAATTCGATTAACATCCCTTACACTAAAACCAAAAACGTGCTCACAAAAATTAAAGGATCAAACACACTAAATGAGAAACTCGAAAGTAAAAGCTATGAATATAACTATGGAGTCTTTAGGCATCCCCTTCGTCGTCCTCCTGCGGAACGGGCTCGGGAACAATGTCTTCCTGATCTGAAATGATTAAATAAGGAATGAGCTACACTAGCCCAGTAAAGACATCACGATATCTCACCGTCACAGAGGTAAAGGTGGGTAGAAAACACAAAAGACCAATGGAGCATAATTTACAACAAATCCTTTTATCCATAATAAATCCTTTACCATCCACTTACCTCGGTGAAATTCATAAAACAATATACGAAAGCAATAACATTATCATCATCATGAAATCATATAAACTGTATAACATAATACTTGTCACGCCTTTTGTAATTCAATCATTACACAACATATTTTTCTCATTTACCAACCCACTAGTATCCATGAGGATCCATAGGGGTCCCGCTACCCGTTAACCCTTAACACTTGAAATCAGATTCCAGGGTCGTCCCCATACCCTGTCCGGTATGGGCGCCAAAACTATAAACCTCATTACCCCGTCCGGTATGAGAGACCACAATCCCGGTAGGGTTCTCTACGGACCCGGTCCGTCCACCATCTCCCAGGATATCTAGTCAGGATGACCACATTATACAATTACCGATTCACATAATCTTTTATTCTCCTTTTCCTCAGTCAGCATCATCAATTCACATACAAACAAGCAAAACAGTAATTTATGCCAAACAGGCAACATACAGCATCAGTATCTCAGTCATTCAATCCATAATCAATAAAACAGTAAAATATGCACACGAAACTGTAAAATGAAAACATCAAACCTCATACTGTATTTAAAACTGTAAAATATGCCAAATACCAGTTAACCGACAAATACACTAGACTCGGGCTCCATTAGCGACCTTAAGCAATTTTACACATTCGTTGATTCAAGAAATACCATTTTATCATTATTGAACTTTAATACCGTGATAGAAAATAGGGCGAGGGGTCCTTACTCGTTTCGGGGTCCGAACACGGCTTCACAGTGCACCTACAGGCTGTCCCTAATTTTTTCTGAATTTTTTCCGGGGAACTGAAACGCACTACTGGTACCTGCACGTGTTCCAAAAAATCCCAAATTAGGCCCAGGGCCCCTTTTTGGCCAATATCGCAATTCCGGCACGGCAGCTCCGCCGTGCTCTGGCGACGGCGCCACCGCTTGCGGCGATGATTCGCCTCTGTTTGGCCGTTTTCGGCCGAATTCGGCCACACTTGCATCGGTTCTTGCAATAAAACAACCCTAGGGCCCTTGGGGGGCCAAAAAATTACGGAAAACCGAAGCTTACCGGCGGTGCTCTCGGGTGCGGTTGCTCTCCGGTGAGGTTCGTGTTTTGGTGATTTGGCTCCGATCAACCTGTAGAGAAAAGAATGGTGATCACGGTGATATAAAAATTGCATCAAACGGAGGCCGGGAAGGGCCTCATCGAAGGCAAAAACCGAGGAGGGGCGCGGCGGCGCCGCTAGGTTTCGGCCGTGTTTTCTGGCCGTTTGGCCGGGATTTTGGCTCCGATTTGGCCACAGGGGAAATCAGCGTGGAAAAACGAGTCGGGGTATGAATACTAGTCCAACTCAAACTTCCTTGCCTTTCTGCCTTTATCCATTATACTCTTAGGAGAATACTAGTCCAATTCTAGGAACCTTCAAGCATACTCTAACACTGTTATATCACCCTATACCAGGTGTGTAAACTCCATCTTCTTCAAATGCCGAAGTTGTTTTGGGAGTTACTCTACATTGAAGGTCATCAGGAACTATTCCCGAGTGACTGGAACAAGCAGGGTGGCCTATTTGAACTGCCACCAGTGACCTGCCTCTCGCATGAGTATGTAGGTAGCAAGTAACACCTTCTGTTCAAGAACCACCCAAGAGTCGTGAAAGCCTTCTCTATCTCAACTAACCAATACTCAAGCTCATCGAAAGAA